TTAAAATGAACTGCATTAAAGTAGCTGCACTGCACAGCACACCCGAGTGTCCGACCAAACTAAGTGGTTGAGCTGCGTTGAGGATATTGTAGATGCCAAGTTTTGACAAGGAACAAGTGTGCACGGAATAAATTGTGAGTCTGACAACGTGAGCGATGCTAAATTGATAGAGCGTTTGACTTTTAATCACATTCTATATGTTGTAGAGCAGGAAAAGTGAGCCTAGCTTGTACCTCTGCAGCAGCACATCAGTGTGATAAACACTGAAGCCTCCTCCATTACCTGGACTCCACCTGACTCGCAGGATATCAGTGAGGAATCAGTGTGATTCTGGTGTGACGGAGGCAATCACAGGAAGACAGTCGTGCAGCCTCGTCCTCCCATCCCCACCGAGAGACAGCTTCCTGTCCTCCTCCTCCTCCTTCTCCTCCTCACTGAGAAAATAAAAAGCAGGATAGTTCTAGAAGAAAGGAAACCCTTTGGGATTTCACTCTCTATCTTTCGCTCTCGTGTCGGTTTCTGCCTCCTCCTTCACTCTCTTGTCTCATTCTCTCAGGCTGAACCTTTCCTGGCTCCTATATTCTCTTTTATCACTCTCTCCGTCCTTCCCCTTCCCCGGTTTTGTCCTCTTCTCTCATTCTCTTTGCCCTTACTCACAAGTTTCTTTCCCTTTTCATCTCCATCCTAAGTTTCTTTCTTTCCTTCCTTATCTTGTCGCTCTCCTTCACAGCACAAGTCCAGGCCATCCAACGCCACTGCATAGCTCGAAATAAATTACCCTTCATTCTGACCTAAATCAAACATGTTGCATTGAAAATACCGGGTACAGAGGATGTAATGGAATGCAGATGCATAAATACAGTCTGGAATAGGCCAAAAACAAATCTATTTTTTTTGGGTTCGTAACCCGACAAGGATGGCTTAAGCAATCCTGGAGAAACATTTTTTAAATGCTCTGGCAAATGTTTTAGCATCTTGGCTAGAAGTCTGCAGAAAACTTACAGCCTTCCAAATGGTTTCTGGGTTGTGATGAGTTTAATACTCTGGTGGAAGATAAAGTGAAGCGGTCAAAGGCTGACTGGCATTGCACCCTGCGTGCCAGCCGGATGATATCTCGGAAAGATCAATATGGCAGAGAGGTCAGCAAGCAAAGATGAGGAAGACAAACCGCAGGAGGACACAATGGCCCTGAAAACTGAATGCAAAGTATCTGAAGACTCTACTGCATAATGTACTACCACATGCTGTAGTAGCAAAGTGCATTCAAATCATAAAGTATTGATTGCAGCTTGCGGTGAGAGAACGTGAAGGGTGACATAATAGCAGGTTTGAAGGAGCATAAATGATGCTCAGTGGAGCCGCGGCCCTAAATGATGTCCCTTGTCGCCGAAATGTCAATAAGTTTATTGCCAAGAGAAAAAATAAATTGGTGGTTTACTTATGATGCTCGACTGCTCCAATTCACTCGAGGAAAATCAATTCTCATCCATAGCTGGGTTTACTGACGCATTACAGACAAATCCTCATCAAATCAAAACGTACACGGTCACTGAATATTGGCATTTCAGGCGGTGAGAACGGAGACGGTGCTGCGTGCCCCATCAGCCGTCCTGAAATATGACAGCACTGACTCATTTCATATTTATTTGTGCGCCGCTCAATTTCTGAGAGATCTGAGTGACTTTGCCGTGCAATAATTCTGATTCAGAGACAAAAAGCTAAACAGCCTCTGGCATATTGACCGAACCTCCAGTCAAATATTAACTGGATGTTAATATTTTCTACCAAAGCAGGTCCGTCTTTCAAATCACACACTATTACAAACACATCATTAAAAGTCGTTGAATTTTTAAGGAAGAGTGCTTGCAAAGACCCCGATTGGTATAATACAATTAAGCACTTGACTCTAGAGTGTCCATCACTTGGCTACGGAGTCACAAAATGACTACAGAGAGATGCAAAATTACTACTTTGATGCATAAAAAGGCCACAGAGAAAACGCAGAGGTAAAAAATACAGGTACAATGGAGAGATGCAAATGACTACCGAGAAATGAAAAATGTCAAATAGAAATGCAAAATGATTAAAGAGAAGTAACTAAAAACAGTTGAAAAATGACTACAGAGAGATGCAAAATAACTGCCTCGGTGGAAAAAAAGACAAGAGAGATGTAAAAAGGCAACCGAAGTAAAACTACAGGCACAACGGAGAGATGCAAAATGACTACTGAGGGATTCAAAATGACTAAAGAGAGATGGAAGATGACTACTGAACGACACACAATGATGACTGAGAGACGCAAAATGACTAAAAGCAGATGCAAAATGAGTAAAGACAAATGTGAAACGACTACTGGAGAAATGTGAAATGACTGCTGAGAAATGCAAAATGACTCCCGAGGGATCCAAAATGACAACAGAGAGATGCAAAATGATGAACGAGAGAAGCAAAGTGACCACAGAGAGACACAAAATGTCTACTGAAAGAAACATAATGACTACTGAGAGATGCAAAATGACTAAAAACGGATGCAAAATGAGTGAAGAGGAATGTAAAAATGACGACTGAGAGATGCACAATGACTACGAAGATGCAAAATAACTACAGAGGGATGCAAAACAATCCAAAAAAAATAGAAAATGACTAAACAGAAATGACTACAGAGAAATGCAACCAGGACAAGCAGGACAGTACATGACATTTTGGTTCATACTGCTTTTACATCTTCTCATATGTCGTATGTACCTTCGTCCAACTCTTCCTAAACCTTCACCTGACTTCTGACGTCACCCTTGAAACCTGGAGGTCTTAACCCTCCAACAGCACTTTGAGGAACTGAAGTAAGGACTCAACAACATGAACCCTGTTTGTGGGAAGCCCTGGTAGTCAAACTGTGTTGTTGTGTGACCAGCTGCATCTGTTGCCTGTATCTCTCCCCCCTCATTTCCTGTCAACTCTCTGCCGTCTCTGAAAGCTATAAATGCTCCAAAAATACTACATAACACAACAATGTGTATTTCCTGAAGAGCTGAGGAAATAAAAAGGGGAAATGTGAGTGCACGGATGAGCAGCATTTCTCCTGAGAAAACTGCCAGCTGAACTTTTCAGTCAACATTAGAGGTTTCCGCACTTGTTGACTTCTATACCCGTGATGTTTCTCTTAGTGAATAATAGTGTCGTCAACCTCCATTACTTTGTCACAAGATTAAGTGATGACTGATGACTTAATACATGTTTTCCAGCAGCCAACTGATACTTTTCGTGGACACAGAGATGGCAGCATGAATTGGCCTGTCAGTCACGTTGTCTTCAGTCCTGCCACAGAGGCTCAGTGAATGGGCCGACCGGACACAAGCTCAGGGGCCTGAGATGTGACTGTTCTTATTGTAAAGTCAATCACACGACTAAACATAACTGCAGAGAGATACAAAAACAAAATATGAAAGAGAAGTAAAAACGCTGCAGACGTCATACTTAAGTTGGAGTGGAGGGACAGAAATTACAAACACACAAAATGACCACAAAGAGACACGGAAATAAGCACAAAGAGACAAAAATGACAAAGAGAGATGCAAAATGAGCACAGAATTATTAGTACAGACTAACACAAAATAAGTACACAGGTGCAAAATGTCTATAGAGACAGAAAATTAGTCCAGAGATGACAATGGAAGGATGCTGTGATATGACTAAAAACAGATGCAAAATAACAATGGTGGGATGCAAAATGTTTACAGAGCAATGGATAATCAGTACAGAGATGGGAAAATGACCAAAGACGTGTAAAATGACAATGGAGGGATGCAAAATGAGTACAGAGAATTAAAAAATGACTGCAGACACACAAAATGAAAAAAGAAATAAACTATGACAGTGATACAAAATGACAAAAGATGAATGCAAAATTACTAAGAAGGGATGCAAAATGACAATGAAGAGATGCTAAATAAGTACAGAGAGATGCAAAATTAGTACAAAGGGATGCAAAATCAATACATAGATGCAAAAGACTACAAAGAGATGCAAAATGAGTATAAAGACACAAAATTACTGCAGCAAAAGATGCAAAATGTCTATAAAGAAATGCCAAATGAGAGTGGAGGGATGCAAAATGATTACAGAAACACACAAGATGACTACAGAAAGATGCAAAATGAGTATAAAGATGTAAAACGGCTACAGTGACACACAAGATTAGGGATACACAAAATATCCACAGAGAGATGCAATCCGAGACTAGCAAAATAACTACAGGAAGAGAAACTAACATAATAACGTCTCCTATGCATTAGAAGTGGGGAGCTTTACATGCCAGTGACCAGAGGCCCCACTGATACGATCTGTCAATGAGTTTGGCGAAAACTTTCCATTTTCTCTGAATTTTACACCTCTTAAATCCAACATGAGCAGATGGCTCCACAAACCAACAACCAGCAGCCCTCAGAGACGCACGCTGTCTCGTATGTTTTCCGAAAAAGCCTTCACAAGGTGATTAGGTCTGCTTTACTTGCAGAGCCTTCGCTCCTACTACTCACATTGATTGTTTTCTCCTGGCCTAGTAAACAGATGGAAGTCAATACACCCCTACAGTGACGTCAGGGTTCACCTCGCTGCAGGTCTCCTGGGTTTATCAATTAGAGCGTAAGAATGCAGCCAAGGATTTCATTTGTAGCCTAAGCTGTTATTAGTAACGACAGGTGGGTATTGAGCGTGGCGCAATGTGCTGGAGAAAATTGTGATAAATGACAGAGGGGAGGCTCTCCCTCTAAAGAGCTGTGCAGATAGACGAGTGCTGGTCATTAGACAGGGGGGAAAGGTGTGCGAGTGTGTTCATGTGTTTCAGGTGGGGGATGCAGTGCAGAAACCAGCTCCTAATGACAGAGAGTGAATCTGGCTTCACTTTCCAAAGCTCTGCTGCCTCGTACTTCTCAGTGCATCGGCCACGCACGCAAAGCCCTTCACCCGCCCGCTCCCTGCATCAGGCAGCCACATCTGTTTACCTTATGGTCGATGATGCCGCTGTATCCCTGGAGGACCGGGGGGTGAGGCTTGGCCACCCTGACGGAGGCTTCGGTGGGCCGCCGCAGCTGCTCATGCTGCCGGATGCGCGTGTCGTTTGCGTCCCTGGAAGTGCTGTTGAAGCTCCCGTTGTAGACCAGGAAGAGGCTGGCGCACAGGAGGAGCACGAGAAGCACGGCTACCCCATGGCGCTGACACGGAGACACAAGCAGATGCCAACAAATTAGCCCTGTTGCACTGGACTGAGTTTAGGCTGCAGCTACAGGCTGAACACCAGCTGAGGCTGCTCTCAGTGCGCACAGCAGCGTCCTCATCCTCAGCCCGGGCGTCAAGAAAACTCCTCATAATTCATCTAAAAAAAAGCAGCTGTCATTGACTGAATATAAGGGCACGGCCACGTTGAGGACAATGACAACATGTGTGGCTCTTAAAGATCTTTTTTTTTTTTTTACTTTGCATGCATGCATTTTGATGCACATTTAAGCAACCTGAAGCCTACAAGGCTGTAAAGTAAAAGCAAAAATGACTAGAAACACAACATGACTACAGAGAAGTGCAAAATGACAATAAAGGGATGCAAAATGAGTACAGGGAGATGCAAAATCGTAAGAGAGAGATGCAAAATTTGCACAGACAGAAGTGCACGCTTCACCAAAAGCTATAACATGAAAAGCAACAATGACTACAGAGACACAAAATAACTACTGGGAGATGCAAAATGACTCTGGTGGGATGCAAAATGTGAAGAGGGACGCAAAATGGCTACAGAGAAATGCAAAATAAGTAGAGAGAGATGTAAAAATTATACAGAAATATGCAAAATGACTACAGAGAGGTATAAAATGACAATGAAGGGATGCAAATGGATTACAGAGACGCAAAGTGGGTACAGTGAAATGCTAAATAAGCAGAACAGATGCAAAATTAGTAGAAAGAAATGCAAAATGACTACAGAATTGTAAAATGACTACAGGGAGATGCAAAATGACAATGAAGGGATGCAAAATGAGTAGAGAGATGTAAAAGGAGTATAAAGAAATGCAAAGTACTTACAAAGAGAGACATAATAAGGACAGGAGAGATGCACAATTAGTGCAGGGAGATGCAAAATGAGGGCAAAGACATGAAAAATGACAAAAGAAGGATGTAAAATGAATAATGAAGTGAAAAGTGAGTACAGAAAAATGCAAAAATGAACACAAGGAGATGTAAAACGAGTATAGGGACGTGAAAAATGACTACAGAGATGCAAAATGACAATGGAGGAATGCAAAACGAGTAGAGAGATGCAGCATTAGTGGAGAGAATTGCAAAAACATGTACAGAGGGATGCAAATGTAGCCGAGAAAGACTCCGAATTAGTACAGATAAGGATGCAAAATAACTACAGAAGATGCGAAAAGACTACAGAGAGACTCAAAAAAGAAGTACAGACAAGTTCAAAAGAAGCATCAGTTCTCTAAACATTCGCACCAAATCGCAGATGGATAAGAAAAGCAGCACTTTTAATCTGATTCCAGCACATTCTCTTAAGTAGAAATGCTATTTCTAAATATACCAGCTGTTCCTTAATGACATAATTAACTACTGAAGCAAAAAAAGATTCATTGCACTTTTTAAAAAAAATATAAGAATGTGCATCAAACGGAGGAAAATCAAACACCCAGCGCGCTATGATCCGCGCTGTAGTGGAGCTTTAGTGCCAAACAGAGCGCACAGCTGGATGTCCATTGTTCAGATCCTAATCTTTTGATCCGACACTGCGCGCACACGCACACACACACACGCACACACACACACACACGCACACAGCAGCGTTATGGCGATTGGAGCGCACTTGACGGAACAATGCAGGATTTGAAAGCGCAAACAGTTGCCCGCGGGGCTGCAAGCCACAAGCAGCCTTTTACCATAGGTGTCTTCATGTTGGCTTATCGCTGCGGCTCAGTGCGTCCGGCTCCACTTTCTCTCATGGTCCGGCGTCCAACCGCTGCCGTCCCCCGGTTCCACTACTCCCAGCCTGCCCTCCGCCGCCGCTGTGTCTTCAGACCGGAGTCCAGGCGCATTTCATACAGAGGAGACCGAGGCGACAGATGTTCACTATTGTACCTCTGCTGGGTCTTAACGCCCCCGAGTTTCAGGCGCAGCGCCGTTAATTACCGAGACTCTACCTGCAAACGGCCGATAAGAGCGTTTGGTTTAATGGTTATTTCCTGCTCAGCGATATTTGATGGGAATCTGCGCTCTTACTGCTCCCGAGTACAGTGAACTCAGCAGCACATGGCTTCTCCTGACGGCTGCTGCATAAAACATGAGCCGGATCCTGGAGACAGGAGGAGTTAGAACACTTCATCCTGTTAATCAGAGCTCAGATGTGACCCACAAGTTACCACATCTGTCCGTTTCATTCCTCTTTACACTTCCACTTTGCTCCATTACAAAAATATGAAATTATTCTACTTTTATTAAACTTATCTGCACTTTTATTTATTTACTTTTAATTCTCTGTTTTGCCTGTTTTAGTGACTTATAAGGAATTTTCACAAGTTATATATATTGATCATATATTTGCTGGTTGTTTTTAAATGTGCTGCATAAATTAATTTCATTTGATCTGATAAATATCTTATAAAATACATTTTTTATTGTCAACTTGATCACCTGCATGCTTTTGTTTCTCTCATCTAGTCTTTTTTTAATCTGTCTTAGTGTTTTTATTGCATAACACTGTGTGCACTCTATTCAACTTGTTTGCAGAGTTTTTGGAAAAAATGCATTTAATTTTTATAACATGTTTTGTTTCATTTCACTTTTTTTTAAAGTTGCATGTATGATGAGGTGTTTTATTTAGAAAAAAACTCTGCTTGCTTATTTATTACTCCTTCGTACGTATTTGTCAGCTTTAGCCTTGTTATGGTAGAAATCTTCATTTTGAATAGGAAGCATTGGAACAGTACTCCACCTCGTCCACCTCCACTAAAGAAATGAAGTTTGGGCTCAAAATTAACAACAGTTTGCATGAATCTGTTTGAGTTACGACAACTTGTAATAGAAGTATGTTTAAGTAGCCGGACTGAAGTCGGGGAATTTGCTTTTCTTCAGCAATCAAATGTATTTTTATTTGCAATCTCTGAAATGGTCCAGGTATATTTATAAGAAGGAGAGGGGACATACAACCCTGGAATCAATGCAAAGAAGAATTAAGGTATCAAATCAACTGTGTTAAGTTAACTCAACTTGAATTTAGTTTTAAGTCAAATAATGCAGAAATTTGAGTTTAAATCACACACAATATTAAGTTGATGCAATTACTAGCATTATTATGTCAAAGCATTCAAATAAATCTAGCAATAATGCACTTAAGTAAGTGGTGGCAATTGGTCCCGTAATTTTTTTTTTTTACAAAAGACACATTAATACACCAACAATGACAAAATGTTCTTATTCATGGGTCACATTTGCAAAAAAAACTTTTTTTGTATTTTTATTCAACAATGTCACTATGTTTTTAAATATCTGAAGTCCTCCATCACTGCTGTTGATGCATGAAAACACTGATTTAACACAAGTTTAAGCTCCTAACTCCTGCTCACGTTGTCCAGTTTTCTAACTTCTAGATTTAAGTGTAAAATGGGTTCACTGCAGCTGCACTGACTCCTCCATCGTGACTAAAGTCTGTGTATGTTCTGCAAACTTTTAGGGAAAAACAGCAACATTTTCAGATTCTTTTTGTCATTGCAAATACTTTGTTTTTCTACATTTCTGATTTTATATTGGGCTGCAAGGTGGCGCAGTTGGGTAGCACTGTTGCCTCACAGCAAGAAGGTTGCTGGTTCGTGTCCCGGTGGGGGCACCTGGGATCTTCCTGCGTAGAGTTTGCATGTTCTCCCCGTGCAGCGTGGGTTCTCTCCAGGTTCTCCGGCTTCCTCCCACACAGTCCAAAAACATGTTGAGGTTAATTGGTGATTCTAAATTGTCCGTAGGTGTGAATGTGAGTGTGCTTGGTTGTCTGTCTCTAAGTGTAGCCCTGTGATAGACTGGTGACCTGTCCAGGGTGTCCCCTGCCTTCACCCTGAGTCAGCTGGGATAGGCTCCAGCCCCCCATGACCCTAGTGAGGATTAAGCGGTATATAGATAAAGGATGGATGGATTTTGTATTTGCACACACTTAAACACTGAACGATGTCGACATTTGAATCAAATATCATTTTAGATTTACAGACCCAACTGGAGAACCAGTGACAGGAAAACTGCCTTAAAGTTACACAACACACTAGATTAATATGAGCACTGAGAAATGAATCTGGAATAACATAAAAATGTGTACGTTGGACATGATTAGATTACTTTAAAACTATAAATAGCTATTTTGCAGTAACTCACAAAAATATGTTGAATCAACGTAATTATTGTATTCAATCTGATAAATGACATATTGTGATCTCACGGGCAATAATTCATTTAGAAGAAGAGGATAATTATGTCCCTTCGTTAAATTCTGTACATTTGGGGCTGATATTAAAGTCAAGTAAATCTTTTATACTTCATTTGTAAGTACAAAAAACTGAAATGCTTCAATATTTTATTGTATTGACACCTTCACATTTACCATTTCATCTGCATTTCCAATCAGCTGTTTATGCTGTAAATCACTCACTCTTTTTGTACGTTTATTTGAAACAACTTGCACATAAAACGTTTGGTTTATCTAGTACATGGAAGCATTGAGTACACTTGACACACGAATACACAAAATATACACAAAATACTATGAATTGTCGTTAATATTTTCTAAGGTCTATGTACAAGAAAATAATGTGTAAAAAGACAGAAAATTGTGGAGTTTTATTTTGAAAAACCAACAAATATTTTATGCAAAGTTAGCTAAAAGTATTAATTTGACATGAATTCATGCTGTATATTCAAATACTGTTGTTTTTTTGGTTTAATTCTCTATTAAAACACACAGTATGGGCCAGATATCTATGTGGTTGATTAAACTTGGACAAAAATCGTACAGCTTTACAAATCGTAGCACAATTCATTAAAAAATCAAAGCAAAAAAAAAAAAAAAGTCATTCTCACCTCAGATGAGTTTTTGTGTCGGTAGAGTTTTGATGTCATTTATGAGATAAACTGGGATTTACAGTCGCTGCAGCACCACGAGCCTCAACACGAAACATCATATCGACTAAACAAAGGCTTATCAGGTCTTCTTTAACACTGAATGAAAGTAATAGTGATGCACCAGTGAAAACAATTCACAAAGTGTAGCTCAATCTGTGTATTTCATTATCCAGCCACGATAACAGAGTCTGTTTGTGCGTTAAAGGTGGTTCCTCCTCCTCCAGTAACTGATGAATCTGTACAGACGACGCACAGACGCTTCACTGTCGCACAATGAAAGGACATCTGTTGTTTGTAGCTGCAGAGCTTCTCAAAAAGCCTTTAAAAGTGCAGCTTTAAACTCTGTCTGGAGTCCTGGAAGTGATGCATTTTATGTTTCAAGCAGCAACAGAAGTTTAGCATAAATATTCATAAACTTCATACGGAGCACTTTTCAAAACAAAGTTCAAAGGAGAGAGAAAAAAACTCCCAACCAAAATAAAAAAAAAAAAAAACACTTTTTGAGGACATGCAGAGGCCACAAAAATCACAAGAACTGGTTGTTCTGAGAAAACACATTATTTGAAGCAGAGTTTCTTGTTGTTTTAACAGGTCTGTTGTTGAGGGGAAAAGGAGTATTAAAAGTTATGTTCTTGTCAGCTGACATCCAGAGAGCTGCCTGAAAGAACTGCTCAAGTGAAACCCCAATAAAAAAATGCATTCAAACTTCATTTATCATTGTAAATTGCGCTCTTCATACATGTTGTCTTGTTTTGTTCTCAAAAAAAGGCTCCAGATCTGCTAATTGGAATAAATTATTTAAAAAGAATTAATGCCTAAACACTCTTTCCAGGACAGATGCAAAGAAATTCTGAGGATATAACAAATCTACAGAACAGTAAAATAAACAGTTATTAATGTGTGCACACATGTAGATGTTCATGTTACATCTACACACACAGAATAAACATGAATGTACAGAAAATACACAAACTTCCCCAGTTCATAAAGTAAGAAACAAAGAAATAAAGTCAAATGTGGGAAATGAGAGAATCAAAATAGCAACATGACGCTGGTGATCTGAAATGGAATGATGATGATGATGATGATGATGATGATGATGGAGCTAATCCATCAGCTTCATCCATACTGCTGCTGTTGTAGCATCACAGACGGAGAGATCTCACAGAGAGATTAACTGAAAGCATCCTGCACTGCCCGAGGAGCTCGTGCTCGTAGATCAGGTCAGAGATATTTGCCGTGTGCTCGTCCAGATTTGAAAAGCGATCAATAAATGCTAAAAATGATTCTTAAAACAGATGTAATAAGGTCTTTCCCTGCAGGTGTAGTTAGACGTCTGCGCCGGCGAGGAGAAGCAATTCACATTCAGGCTGACGTAGACAGAATCAGAGGTTAAAAAATAGATGTTTTAAAAGCATTTCCCCCCCTTTTCTGGGTCGGTAACAGATGAAAAGTGTATTTTGGAGAATGTTTGTGTGGATTATACATGAAGAAATGTAAGAAATGATTCAGCATAGGCAGAAATAGACATGATGGCTGATTAAAGGAAGGAGACTCTCAAACTGAGCTTGATCACAGAAGCACAGTGAGCTGACAAAATAAGAATGAGGGAAGCCGCTGATGTTCTATTTTTTATTCACTGTCAACTAGTTACATAAAAAGAAACCAGCGTTGTGTCCTATTAGTAAGCATACATCTGTATGTAGTGCTTCAGTTTAAACAATGGCCTCAATTTCTGAAAACAGCTGTACTTATTTTTAGAGCAGTTGTTACTTAAATAGCAACAAATAGTCATTTCTGAGGATTGCTTTTAGCCATGTAGGCTCAGGTAAGTGTTTCCCAACAGCTCATCCAGAAAAATATGTTTTTGTACGACTGCCTTCCAGCTGTTTGATCCCTATTAGCAACATTATTTAAAACCAGTAAAAATCACTGTTGCACTAATAAACGTACGTCAAAGATTGGTTAGGTTTTGATCAAGTCGTCCATTCTGTCTTTTCCTACCAGGTGATACTAACCATAG